CTCCTTTTCATTCTGCCTGGAACTTCAGCCCATAGGTAAGGTGGGGGGTTTCCATCCTTAATCTAACTTTAGAAAATTCCTCACAGACATGCACAAATGTCTATTCCTATTATGACTCTAAATTCAGTCATGTTGAGAGTGAAGATCAACCACCTGAGACAACTAAGGTGATGAACACACAAGTTTTTTTTTTCTTCTCAACAAATAATCCCCCAATATAACAAGCCCTTTCTGACTAAACACTGTCTCAAATAAACAAATAAATAAGATTTTATTTTTTAAAAGTCTTCTCATTTGAATTTTTTGACTTGTCTTATTTCTTGAGATAGGGTCTCACCATTTAGCCCTGGCTGGCCTGTAACTCATAGAGATCCTCCTGCCTCTGCTTGCTAAATGCTGGGATTGCAGATTTGTGGCACCATATTTGGCTAAATTTGTTCATGTTTTGAAACAGAGTATCCCATGCTGAGAATATTCCTGGCTGGGCCCCTCAACCTCTGAGATTAGAGACTTGCAAGGCTCTGGTTTGAATTTCTTTTTGCAAAAATAAACTTAAATTTTGGTAGAATTTTAGATTTACAGAGGGGAAAAAAAACCTGCAATGAGAGTCCAGAACTTCTTTATACACCCCGCCCTCTCTTCCTGCACAGTTAGCCTCTTACAAGCCACAGTCAGTCAGAAATAAACACTGGTCTGCTGCTGTTAGCTATACTCTAGGCTTCATGTAGACTCCTCGGGCTCTTCTTCCAGTGTTCTTTCTCTGTTCCAGGATCCAATCCAGGATCCCACGCTGTGTTTAGTGTCAGGGGTGGTTTCCATTTCACAGACTTAACTGGGGCTTCCTCTTGCTGATGAAGAAGGGACTCCTGGGGAACTCTTGTCTCTCTCAGCTGGGATGTGAGCATTTATGAAATCCTTCCACCTCTCAGGATGTGCCTGCTATTCCAGTCCCGGGAAGCTTAAGCACCAGGTGAGAACCTTAAACGCATTCTCTCCACCCTCTCTGCACTGTTGTTGCTGCTTGTGTGAACCCCTAGGGAAAGCCTGGGGCAGCCTGACCTTAGTAGTTCTCAACCAATCCAGTCCTCAGTCACTGACTGAATCTGTCCTGTGTGCAAGGCCCTCTGGTAGATGTTAAGGGGAAATAGTTTTAAAATGACCATATCCCACTTTTAAGAAGCCTATGAGAGGTGGCGATGCACCCCTTTAATCCTAGCACTTGGGAGGCAGAGCTGTGAGAGTTAAAGGCCAGCCAGGTCTACAGAGCTATTTTCAGGACAACCAGAGATACACAGAGAAACCCTGTCTCAAAAGAAAAGAAGAAAAAGAAAAAGAAGGCAGCATGCAGAGAGAGAGAGAGAGAGAGAGAGAGAGAGAGAGAGAGAGAGAGGGAGAGAGAGAGAGAGAGAGAGAGAGAGAGAGAGAGAGAGAGAGAGAGAGCTGGACCCAAGTCCTGGTGAGAGGCAGGTAGCAACAGTGTGAACACAGGCAAGGTGACGTTTCCATCTGGGAGGACTGAAGAAGGCCTCTGGGGAAGCTGACTTTTGAGACCAAGCCTTGAAAACAGGGTAGAACTCACAGAGGAAAGGTGGAAGAGACAGCATTCTGGAGGGATGAATAGAAAGCAAGAGTCAAGTGCAGAGAATGGACTGTAGGGGGGCTATTATTTAAACTAGGCAAGGATGTGTTCCATTTGTTTGTGCTGTGGAATATTACTTTAACTGTGCAAAGCTGTGTTCCTTTTGTTGATGCTGAATTTGTTTAATTTTGTAAAGATGTGTTGCATTGATTTCGCCTTGCCAGCCTAAGGCACCTGATCAATCTAATAAAAAGTTGAATGGCCAAAAGCTGGTTAGGAGAAAGGCTATGAGAAAAAGAGAGGGAGGGAGAAAGGAAGGGAAGAATGAGAGGAAGAAGAGAGGAGAGAATGAGGAATATACACAGGACCAGAAGCCAAGCATCTGTCAGCCAGCAGATAGTAATACTACATACAGAAAAAAATAATTAAAAAAAGATAACCCTCCCAAGGCAAAAGGTAAAGAAAAATAGGATAATTTAACTTAAAAGAACTACCCGAAATGAATGTAAGCTAGGCTAAGTACTCATAACTAATAAAAAGTCTCTCTGTGTCAAGATTGGGGTGCTGGTTAGTGGCTGGTATGGTTGACAGCATAGGATTCTCATAGAAATAAGGGCCCCTAACATCACCTAACACTGCGGAAGGAGATGCATCTCTCCCCAGCCAGCATCGGAAAGCATCCGGGTTCTTACACAGAGATTAATGCAGAGAGCTGGGATAGGGGGAGCAGTGGGAACTTGTGGGATGGGATAGAGGGCACAGCGGGAAGTGGTTTGTGCTATAGGGCCATAAGTACTGAATCCAAGGGGATCACAGGAATGGAAAGGGGAGAGGCAGGCAAGAAAAAAGACTGGATAATAATGGAATGTGAGGAAGAGCTGAGGATGAGGATGAGGCTGGAAGGAGCGAGGGAGGGTGACTGAGGTCTTAGCCATCAGGACAGACAGCAGCCAGCTGAGGCCATGGCTGTTGAAGGATCTGGTTGGCCCGAGGCAGTTTTGAGGTCAAAGGTACAGGAGATGCCAACCCAGGAGTCAGGCAGCTGGAGACTGGTGCCCAAGTGCAAGTGTCTGTGGCAAAGACACCAGCCTGCCTGGCAGGCACCACGAGGATCTGTGCTCCTGCATAACTCAGTAAAGATCCATTTCCTCAGGGAATGAAACCATTTCCTCAACTCATAGGTAGCACTGCTTGTACAGCACAGAAAAGCTCTCATGGGGCTGGGGGTGTAGCTCGATTGCTAGCCTGTGTGCCTGGCATGCATTAACCCTGGGTTTGATCCCCTGCTTTGCATAAACCAAGCAAGCCTGGGACCCCAGTATTGTGGAGGAAGAGGCAGAAGGCTCACAGTCATTCCCAGCTACATAGCAAGTTCCAACCCTGTCTCAAAGAACAAACAGAACAGAAAATTGTCATTGTCCCAGCTCCCAACTTCCCCAGGGTCAACTCACTCAGAAAAGTCCAGGCTCAAGTGCTGTGACTCCTTACTTCCCAGTCTCAACCTTCTCTACACAGTGCTCTGCCCAGCCCCCCTTACCTCCTGCAGCCTGTGGTCCTCTATCCACAGGGTCTGTCCTGTCACCCCTTTGGGGAACTCCACACAATGATTTCCCTCAGTGTCTTGGTCTGTGGCTCACTGGTTAGGACAGTGAGCCCCTCTGTGCCTGGGATCACCTCCTGTTCCCTCCAGAGGTTGGCCTGGAAATTTTCAAAGGAGCACGAGGTGCGGATTTCTTCTTTACTGTAAAATGTGATGCTTGCATTTGCTCATTTGGGAGTGTTTTGTGGTTTGGGTTCCTAGGGTTTTCTTTCAGGGTGGATATGACAGGGTTGAGTCTTAAAGCATATCCCAGGCTGGCCTCCAGTCCCCATTTTCCTTTACCAGCATTCTGATTGTGCCATGCTCACAGCCTGACTCAGGGTTGTTCATCTTTCCTTGCCTGGGGGCAGTTTCCACAAACCCCTCAAATACAATACATTCATTTATTCATTCAATTATGAAAGCTTGATGGTGTCTGGCACTATTGAGGTACTGCAGACACAGTGGGTTGGGAATGACATGAAACACTGTGACACACACTCTACTTCTGTGGAAGGCAGAGGGGGATCCTCAGGATGCTTTGATCACCATGGGGCCACTGGGGACTTATTAAACACCTAGTACCACATAGGCATGCTCAGGAATTTTCCTGCCACCTACATGTCCTTCAGATCTTCTCTACTCTCTCCAGCACAGCCCCATCACAACACCCTCCTTGGCAGCTCAGCCTGAGCCAGGAGCTGGGCTGTGCCAAATCATTGTGAATCTCCCTGGCCAGAGACCACAGGAAGGTGGGGCCTAGGTGGGGTGGGACCAATGTGATGGGCTCCAGGACTATAGTTGGAGCTTGCAGAGGGGGAACCGGGATTTGGACAAGGACTGTCTGTGAGGACACCTGCAGGGATGGGGCAAGTATGGATGAAAAGGAAGTAGGCATGGATCTAACTGCTGAGCCCTTCCCATCCCTGTGACCTCCTGGACGTGGAGTGACAGCTCACGGACACAGAAATGGGTGAAAATGCCCCTCAGGGCCTCCTAGATCTGTGTGGGAAGGGGGAGGCCCAGCGAGATTCCCCCAAGCACCCACTCACTTTCTCTAGCGGGTGGAGCTGACACCGCCCTAAACTGCCTGACCAGGCCCAGGCATCAGAGTCTGGATTCAGCAGAGCCAGTCCTGAGGATCCAAATGAGTCACAAGGCTGCTGTGTTCAGATAGCCCATAGATTAGAGGAATGTGCTTATTGCTATTTGGGGTTGCACTTCGGGGCCAGCAGCATGAGAAGGTCAGCTCTGGGACACACCTGACCTGAGTAGGCCCAGCTGGAGTCGAGGAATCATGCTGACTAGCTTAAATCCTCTCTGAATGAGTTTGGTCATCTTCTGTATCTCCTTGTTTCTCAGGCAGGATGTGGGCAGAGATAAAGAAAGCATTGGTCCCATTCATTGTATGGGGTTCATTAATGCTTGAAGTTTCAGGCACTGATGGAGGTTCTTCAAAAGGGTGCCATAGTGAAGAGGTATTGTAATCTATTTACTCCAGTTTAACAGAAAGGGACTGATGATGGAGAGGAGTGAAGAACACAATCCAAGGGCATACAGCCCCAAGTGGCAGGGTTCAAGGCAGCAGCCACCAACCTACTCCTTCTGTTCTGGTCCAACACCAATTGGTACATCCAAAAACCCTATTCAGCTATATCTGTCAACCAGGGGACCCGCTTGTCTTTCCCTCCTCATAGCATCTTGCAGTCTGTCTGTCTGTCCAGAGCCAGGACATAGGCTGGTAGCACGAACGCCCATGCATGCTGGAGCATACACAGATGAGGGTCTGAGGAAGTCCTGGGTTCATGGATGCAGGGGCAAATGTCTGCTTCTACCTTACAGGTCTGTTCTCAGAGTTGAGGCTGGCTGTGCCTTGGGGCCACATTGCTGTCAAAGTCTGGGGCTCCCAGAAGAACCCTCCAGTCCTCTGCCTGCATGGCTGGCTGGACAATGCCAACTCCTTTGACAGACTCATTCCTCTTCTTCCACAAGGTGGGGCTATGGGCTGAGGGACTGTGGAGGGGTGGAAGCTGCCATGCAGCCCCTGCCTCTCCCTCCTCTCTCTGCTGCAGACTTTCATTATGTGGCCATGGATTTCGGAGGTCACGGGCTCTCCTCCCATTACAGCCCAGGGCTCCCGTATTACCACCTACATTTTGTGAGTGAGGTCCGAAGGGTAGCAGCAGGTGAGCGAGAGACAGAGTGGGAGTCATGTAGGAGTGAGTGTGTGTGTGTGTGTGTGTGTGTGTGTGTGTGTGTGTGTGTGTGACTCTGCCACAACCCTCTCATCCTAGGAGGTAAGATGCAGTGTCTGGGAGACAGGAGTGCTGGGCAGTGGATACCTGGGGTCTGGCTCCAGTTCTCCCAGCAACTGAGAAGAGCTTGCTTCCTCCACTAGGAGCTTCCCACAGTGGAGCTGAGCCCCTCAGCTGGTCTCCTGGGTGGGGTGCTGCAGGTACTTGGAGGGAGTCCAAGCCAGGAATAGGAAAAAGTTTAGAGTAAGGCTGGACTGTGCAAATATTCTCTTTGAATTTGTGTTTTCCAGCATTTAAATGGACTCGGTTTTCCTTCATGGGCCACAGTTTTGGTGAGTCAGCTTTACACTGGCCCTGGGTTCTCTGGAGGGCTATAGGAGAGAGAGAAAATTTGACACAGTGGTACCTGGTACCTTTCCCTGCCCTTCTAAGGAGGAAGGGAGTCCTCAAGCGCTTACCTTAGGGACTGGGCCTCTGGTCTCAGAGGAGTGTGCAGGGTGGCCTTACAAGGTTTTCAGGTGGAGGGACCTTTGTGGCCCAGGTAGGGGCTCCTAGTTGAATATGCTGAGTCCCAACCCCATGGTGGGAGAGGCGCTGGGGTAGGACAGAGCACAGGAAAGAGCTGGGGGAGGATTTGGAGCTGGAGAGGGGACACACAGACTTCAGTACTGTTCTCTTGCCTGGCAGGTGGCACTGTGGCCGGCATGGTGAGTACCTGGATCTTCTGGGGTCACCTGGGACCTTTCTGGGGGCATGGGGAGGAGACCAGCAGGAGGTAAGATAGGAAGAACCCCTTCATGCAGTGGATGCAGTAGCCAGCACCCCTTAGTCAGAGGCAACTTCACGTGTCCACTGTGTCCTGGGCATGGCTCCCTATGGAGTTTCTGCGTGTCTCATCCAAGCTGGCTGCGGTCTGCAGCTAGGTCAGGGAGAAGCGCACCTGGGAGCAGCAGGCTCCAGCTCTGCTGAGGCCTCTGCCTTCACACACTCACTTGTGGCTCTCTTGTCACTTTCTAGTTTGCCTGCATCTTCCCCGAGATGGTGGACAAACTGATCTTGCTGGAATCAACGCCACTTGTCCTGGACTCTAATGTAGGGAGAGGCTTCCTGGAGACTGTCATGGGGTCCCCAGACTTTAGGGAGGTTGCCTTCAGCTCTGTCTCCTGTGGACATTAAGGAAGCAGGAGAGTGTGGCAGAAGGGGACAATTAGAGGGCAGCATTCTGAAGCTTGTGATCCTGAGATTGTCAGGGGCAGGGCATGGGAACTCTTGGAAGGCCTGCTCTGTGGCCTGCATTCTGGAGAATGTGGGTGGATCCAGCATAGACTGTGAAACTCAGAATGAGGATGAAGGGGCAGCCATGGGTGGAGGAAGTTCTGGGCCACAGGAAGCTCCCTGCCCTAACATCTAATCCATTCCTTTGTGCTGTGCACATGGAACCCACTGTGAGTGTGGCTGATAGAAAAATACCACCACCAGCATTCACAACAGCCAGTACTGACTCTGTATGTGAGACTAGGTTCTGTCCTTTACCTACTGTGTGACCCTAAGGGAGTTAGTTTCCTCCAGAGGACTTCACTGTGTCCACTTCCACCTTCTCTTTTCTTACTTACAAAATGGCCACACGTTCCTAGAGAACAACTCATTCTGTCTTTTTTGATGTAGGATTTCATTCTGTAGTCAAGTCTGGCCATGAACTTCTGGCAATCCTCTTGCCCCAACCTCATAACTGTGTGGATTACTGTTCTTGTTTTTTGGTTGGGGTGTGTGTGTGTGTGTGTGTGTGTGTGTGTGTGTGTGTGTGTGTGTGTGTTTTCTGTTTTACTTAGAAAGGGTTGGTCTGTATGGCTGTATTGGAATAATGTCTGTAGATGATACTGGCCTCAAACTCATAGATATCCTCCTCCTGATGCCTGCCAAGTGCTGGAATTAAAGGTATGATAGATCTGGCTGGCTGGACATCGTATTTTATCCCCATGTCTCCCATCCCTGTACATTGTAAACACTTAGTAATTTTCCATTGCAAGAAACATTAATGCATGGATTAGTGTGGAACCCTATACCCAGGCTTTGCCCTTTGATCTCTGTAGTGTCCCACAGATGAAACAAGTACTTCGCCTTGGGACATCCTCCTGAGTGCTGCTGGGTGGCAGTGAGCCACCAAAAACAAGAACCTATGGTCTTCGCCACTGGGGACATGTGGTATGACAGATGGAATCTCAGACCCATCTACCTCAACTAGCAATGACAACATTGTGGAAGTCAAAGAAATACTCTACCCTTAGTGGAAACGTAGTATCACTTCTACAAAGCACTACCCTGTCTTTGTGCCATGCAAGCCTGTGCTGGATGAGAAAGCACAATGAGCAGGATAACTACCAGGGTCTGATTCCCCTCAGAGGGGCACCGAGGGCAGGGGCAGGACCCAGGAAGGGGCTGGAACCCCTCGACTGGCACGTTCTCTTGACCAGTTCTGCTTAATCCGTAGGAAACAGAGAACATGCTGACCTACAAACAGAGGAACATAGAACACATGTTGCAAGTGGAAGCTTCTCAGAATTCCTGGAGGGTGTCCAACATGGAAGACTTGTTACAGAGGTGGGTGCTGGCAGCAGGGGCAGGGCAGAGGAGGGCTGGGACAGCTGTGCCCTGGGTGGAAACTCTCCAAGTCAGGGAGAAGGTAGAGCCTTGTCCACTCCCCTGCTGCTTCCTCCCCTCCTTACAATGTCATTCACCCACTCCTACCCCTCTCCCCAGTCTTCCTTCCCTCTGGTTTGCACTCAGCACCGGCCTCCAGGACACTCCTCAGAAGCCCCTTGCTGTCACCGCCCCTCAGTACCATGCTTTACAGGGGTCTCTTTCTTGCCCCTCAGGTTCATGCTCTGTTGGCTCACCTCTGCCCTCTGGCTACCAACCTTAGCCTACTGAACAATTACCTGCAGTTCTCTCCCATCTCCTGCTGGAGCTGTCTGGTGGCTTCTACCGTGGACAATCCACACTGCCCTGTGTTAATGTCAGCCTCTAAATTCTGCACCCCTGGCCTGACTGGGAATGCCCTGGTCATCTTTGTAACCACTGCATCTGGCACTCTGCACAGTAGCACAGGGATTCACTCCTTTGTTCTTGTCTAGAGGAAAGAACACACACACACACACACACACACACACACACACACACACAGAATACCAGGCAGACACGCTGATGCAGCAAATACCCCACTGGTTCAGAAGGACACACAGTTCATGTAGCCTCCCTTCCCTCCATCTCCCCTTCCTCCTCACTTCCATACTTCCTGGAGTTTGAACCAAAGCCCTCAAGCACTTTACCCCTGAGCCACATCCCTGGCCGTTTCTGTTGTTTGTTTGTTCTTTTTCCAGGGATTTAGGTATAATTCAGGCTGGCCTTGAACTCAGATCATTCTGCCTCAGCCTCCTTAAGCTCTGGAATTAAAGATGGGCACACCACATCCAGCTGCCTGGTTTCCTTTCTTCCAAAACCCCCGGGCTTGATCAAGGCATGGTTCCCTTAGTGTCTTTCTGTCTCCCCAGGCTCCTGAATAAAAATAGCCACTTGAATAAAGAGTGTGGGGAACTCCTGCTACAGAGAGGAACCAGGAAGATGGGCACAGGTAAGGACTCACTGACTTTATTACTGAGGGAAGACATGGGGGGCTTCATGGGCCAAGCTGGTTCTTTGTGCCTGAAGTGTTTCCTTAACTCTTCCATTGCCTCTCACACGCCCTGTGAGAGCAGGGGAAACTGAGGCTGCACATTGCCGAGTGCCTAGTACAACGTCACATAAGCGTTGTAGAAAACCACACTCTGTGTGAAGGCTGGCAGCCATTGGCACTAAACTTGGTGATCGTCATGGCCAGGGTTGAGAGCTGTGCCCATCGCTGCCCACCACACTTGTTGTCAGCGAGGTCACAGAAGCTGCCCTCCCTGGGAGGCAGCTTTGCCACAGATCTCAGGCAGATGCTCTGTGTGAGAACAGATGAGACACTGGAGGCTCAGAGCTGATGTGGAAACCTTTGTTTAGAGAAGGTACCCATGGTGCTCTTAATCTGAGGAGCAGGACAAGGAGTGACTTTGCTGTGTGTGTCTGTGTGAGCACGTGCAATGGGCATGTGCAGGTCAGAGGTCAACGTCAGGTGTAGTTCCCCAGCCACACTCCTCACAGCCATTTAGTATCTATTTTTTGAGATGGTCTCTAACTTTCCAGAGAGGCTAAGCTGGTGGCCAGCACACTCCAAAGATCCTCCAAGCCCCCTCTGCCTCTTGAGGGTGACATTGTAGGAACGTCACAACATGCCCAGTTGTTTGAAATGAGAAGTCTTAGGATTGGTTCAAGTCTTGTCACGAGGACTCTACAGAGACATTTGTCCACGCCAGGAGTGAATGTTTCATGATGTGTATTAGACTGGGTATCAGATACTCCCCAGGGCCCAGTACAGAACATCCAGGCCCTCTGCCACTGACTGCCAGCTGTACTGACATCATTATGTACCTTTATTAACTGTATCATTTCTCCTAGGGAGGCTCCTGATCCTAGCATGCATATCACACCTGCCATGCATGTGACCTACAGTGTTCATCAGTAGCTGCCCACTCTTCTTATGAGTTATCATTGTTGTTTTGATGCAGCTATGGGAGATGAAACTTGGTTCACCTTTTTTAAGATACCCACATGGAGTATATTTGGGAAATATAATTAGCAATAGAGGTGAGGGAGTAGTAGCACACACCTTTAATCCAAGCACTCGGTAGACACGGGCAGAACAATTTTTGTGAGTTCAAGGCCACCCTGGGCTAAAAGAGATTGAATCAGTCAGTCTAAAAGAGAAAAAGAGCTAAAACCTTTGATCCCAGTATTTGGGATCACACACCTTTTAAAAATATTATTTATTGTCCTTTGGGTTTTGCTTGCTTGTATATCTACATGCAAATGTCATTTGCCCCGCAACTGAAGCTACAGACTGCTGTGAACTACCATGTGTTATTGGTAATTGAGTCCTGGTCCTTTAGAAGAGCAGCCAGTACTCTTAACCAGTGATTCAACTCTCCAGCCTGGGATCACACACCTTTAATCCTAGCACTAGCAGGTGAGACAGGAGTGATATGGCTGGGCAGAGAAAGGAATACAAAATGGGAGGAGACAGGAGTTCAGGGCATTCAGTCTGAGGATTCATAGGGACAGGAATGCCCCTTTGGTCTAAGGATTTAGTAGAGATAAGACCTAGTTCTTGGCTGCTCTGCACTCTGATCTTTAGGCGAGCTCTATTTCTTACATGACAAACAAAATATCAGCACAGAAGGGCATGGCAGGAAGTGGTTTGTGTTATAGGGCCATAAGTACTGAATCCAAGGGGATCACAGGAATGGAAAGGGGAGAGGCAGGCAAGAAAAAAGACTGGATAATAATGGAATGTGAGGAAGAGCTGAGGATGAGGATGAGGCTGGAAGGAGCGAGGGAGGGTGACTGAGGTCTTGGCCATCAGGACAGACAGCAGCCAGCTGAGGCCATGGCTGTTGAAGGATCTGGTTGGCCCGAGGCAGTTTTGAGGTCAAAGGTACAGGAGATGCCAACCCAGGAGTCAGGCAGCTGGAGACTGGTGCCCAAGTGCAAGTGTCTGTGGCAAAGACACCAGCCTGCCTGGCAGGCACCACGACGATCTGTGCTCCTGCATAACTCAGTAAAGATCCATTTCCACAGGGAATGAAACCATTTCCTCAACTCATAGGTAGCACTGCTTGTACAGCACAGAAAAGCTCTCATGGGGCTGGGGGTGTAGCTCGATTGCTAGCCTGTGTGCCTGGCATGCATTAACCCTGGGTTTGATCCCCTGCTTTGCATAAACCAAGCAAGCCTGGGACCCCAGTATTGTGGAGGAAGAGGCAGAAGGCTCACAGTCATTCCCAGCTACATAGCAAGTTCCAACCCTGTCTCAAAGAACAAACAGAACAGAAAATTGTCATTGTCCCAGCTCCTAACTTCCCCAGGGTCAACTCACTCAGAAAAGTCCAGGCTCAAGTGCTGTGACTCCGTACTTCCCAGTCTCAACCTTCTCTACACAGTGCTCTGCCCAGCCGCCCTTACCTCCTGCAGCCTGTGGTCCTCTATCCACAGGGTCTGTCCTGTCACCCCTTTGGGGAACTCCACACAATGATTTCCCTCAGTGTCTTGGTCTGTGGCTCACTGGTTAGGACAGTGAGCCCCTCTGTGCCTGGGATCACCTCCTGTTCCCTCCAGAGGTTGGCCTGGAAATTTTCAAAGGAGCACGAGGTGCGGATTTCTTCTTTACTGTAAAATGTGATGCTTGCATTTGCTCATTTGGGAGTGTTTTGTGGTTTGGGTTCCTAGGGTTTTCTTTCAGGGTGGATATGTCAGGGTTGAATCTTTCCTTACCTGGGAGTAAATTCCACAGAGCCCACAATTACAATACATTCATTAATTCATTCAATTCACTGTCAGGTGAAATTGAGGGGCTGCAGACACAGCAGACATGGATCACATAAAACACCATGGAAACACAGTCACTACACTTCTGGAAGGCAGAGGGGGATCCTCAGGGCTCATTGATCTTCACGGGGCCACTTGGGACTGTTTTAACACCTGGTACTGTGTGGACCTGCCCAGGGAGATGTCCTGCCACCTAAGTGTCCTTCAGAGCCCTGTCTACTCTATCTAGCACAGCTCTGTCACAACACCCACCTTAGCAGGTCAGCCTGAGCCAGGAGCTGGGCTGTGCCAGAGTCCTTGGGGATCTCCTTGGCCAGAGACCTCAGGAAGGTGGGGCCTGGGTGGAGTAGGGCCAACCTGAAGGGCTGGCACAAGTAGGTGGTGATGTGGGGGTGGAAATGGGACTACAAAGGAGTCACCTGCAGGGCTGGCCAAACCTGGAAGAAAAGTCAATGAGAAAGGATCCAGCCTCAAGTCCTTCCTGCGACCATCTGGACGTGGAGTGACAGCCACAGGGACACAGCAATGGGTGAAAATGCCCCTCAGGGCCTCCTAGATCGGAGTGGGAAGGGGGAGGCCCAGCGAGATCCCCCAAGCACCCACTCACTTTCTCTAGCCGGTGGAGCTGACACTCACCGCCCTCCCCACTGCCTGACCAGGGCTGGTCATCAGTGCCTGGATTCAGGAGAGCCAGTCCGTGGGATCCAAATGAGCCACAAGGCTGCTGTGTTCAGATAGCCCTTAGATGGGAGAAGGGAGCATATCACTATTGGGGGTAGCACTTTGGAGCCAGCAGAATGAAAAGGTCAGCTCTGGGACACACCTGACTTGAGTAGGCCAAGCTAGAGTCTGGGAATCACGCTGTCTAACTTAAATCATCTCTGAAAGAATTTGGTCATCTTCTGTATCTCCTTGTTTCTCAGGCAGGATGTGGGCAGTTAGTTTGTATGAAGACAGAGATAAAAAAAAAAAAAAAAAAAAAAAAAAAAAGCATTGGTCCCATTCATTGTATGGGGTTCATTAATACTTGAAGTTTCTCAGACACCAATGGTTGTTCTTAAAAGGATACCATAGTAAAGAGGTACTGTAAAATATTACTCCAGGTTAACAGAAAAGGATTGAGGATGGAGAGGTTTGAGGCAACCAGTCCAAGATCATACAGCCCCAAGTGACAGGGTTCAACCAACTCCTTCCTGTTCTGGTCCAACAACAATTGGTACATCCAAAAACCCTACTCAGCTATATCTGTCACACAAGGGACCCGGTTGTCTTTCCTTCCACAGGGCATCTGGCAGTCTGTCTGTCTGTCCAGAGCCAGGACATAGGCCGGTAGCACGAACGCCCATGCATGCTGGAGCATACACAGATGAGGGTCTGAGGAAGTCCTCGGTTCATGGATGCAGGGGCAAATGTCTGCTTCTACCTTACAGGTCTGTTCTCAGAGTTGAGGCTGGCTGTGCCTTGGGGCCACATTGCTGTCAAAGTCTGGGGCTCCCAGAAGAACCCTCCAGTCCTCTGCCTGCATGGCTGGCTGGACAATGCCAACTCCTTTGACAGACTCATTCCTCTTCTTCCACAAGGTGGGGCTATGGGCTGAGGGACTGTGGAGGGGTGGAAGCTGCCATGCAGCCCCTGCCTCTCCCTCCTCTCTCTGCTGCAGACTTTCATTATGTGGCCATGGATTTCGGAGGTCACGGGCTCTCCTCCCATTACAGCCCAGGGCTCCCGTATTACCACCTACATTTTGTGAGTGAGGTCCGAAGGGTAGCAGCAGGTGAGCAAGAGACAGAGTGGGAGTCATGTAGGAGTGAGTGAGTGTGTGTGTGTGTGTGTGTGTGTGTGTGTGTGTGTGTGTGTGTGTGACTCTGCCACAACCCTCTCATCCTAGGAGGTAAGATGCAGTGTCTGGGAGACAGGAGTGCTGGGCAGTGGATACCTGGGGTCTGGCTCCAGTTCTCCCAGCAACTGAGAATGAGAAGAGCTTGCTTCCTCCACTAGGAGCTTCCCACAGTGGAGCTGAGCCCCTCAGCTGGTCTCCTGGGTGGGGTGCTGCAGGTACTTGGAGGGAGTCCAAGCCAGGAATAGGAAAGAGTTTAGAATAAGGCTGGACTGTGCAAACTTTCTCTTTGAATTTGTGTTTTCCAGCATTTAAATGGAATCGGTTTTCCTTCATGGGCCACAGTTTTGGTGAGTCAGCTTTACACTGGCCCTGGGTTCTCTGGAGGGCTATAGGAGAGAGAGAAAATTTGACACAGTGGTACCTGGTACCTTTCCCTGCCCTTCTAAGGAGGAAGGGAGTCCTCAAGCGCTTACCTTAGGGACTGGGCCTCTGGTCTCAGAGGAGTGTGCAGGGTGGCCTTACAAGGTTTTCAGGTGGAGGGACCTTTGTGGCCCAGGTAGGGGCTCCTAGTTGAATATGCTGAGTCCCAACCCCATGGTGGGAGAGGCGCTGGGGTGGGACAGAGCACAGGAAAGAGCTGGGGGAGGATTTGGAGCTGGAGAAGGGACACACAGATTTCAGTACTGTTCTCTTGCCTGGCAGGTGGCACTGTGGCCGGCATGGTGAGTACCTGGATCTTCTGGGGTCACCTGGGACCTTTCTGGGGGCATGGGGAGGAGACCAGCAGGAGGTAAGATAGGAAGAACCCCTTCATGCAGTGGATGCAGTAGCCAGCACCCCTTAGTCAGAGGCAACTTCACGTGTCCACTGTGTCCTGGGCATGGCTCCCTATGGAGTTTCTGCGTGTCTCATCCAAGCTGGCTGAGGTCTGCAGCTAGGTCAGGGAGAAGCGCACCTGGGAGCAGCAGGCTCCAGCTCTGCTGAGGCCTCTGCCTTCACACACTCACTTGTGGCTCTCTTGTCACTTTCTAGTTTGCCTGCATCTTCCCCGAGATGGTGGACAAACTGATCTTGCTGGAATCAACGCCACTTGTCCTGGACTGTAATGTAGGGAGAGGCTTCCTGGAGACTGTCATGGGGTCCCCAGACTTTGGGGGGTTGCCTTCAGCTCTGTCTCCTGTGGACATTAAGGAAGCATGAGAGTGTGGCAGAAGGGGACAATTAGAGGGCAGCATTCTGAAGCTTGTGACCCTGAGATTGTCAGGGGCAGGGCATGGGAACTCTTGGAAGGCCTGCTCTGTGGCCTGCATTCTGGAGAATGTGGGTGGATCCAGCATAGACTGTGAAACTCAGAATGAGGATGAAGGGGCAGCCATGGGTGGAGGAAGTTCTGGGCCACAGGAAGCTCCCTGCCCTAACATCTAATCCATTCCTTTGTGCTGTGCACACGGAACCCACTGTGAGTGTGGCTGATAGAAAAATACCACCACCAGCATTCACAACAGCCAGTACTGACTCTGTATGTGAGACTAGGCTCTGTCCTTTACCTACTGTGTGACCCTAAGGGAGTTAGTTTCCTCCAGAGGACTTCACTGTGTCCATTTACATCTTCTCGTTTACAGTGTGGCCACACCTTCCTGAAGGACAAGAACTCTATCTGTCATTTTTGAGACAGGAGCTCATTCTGTAAACAAGACTAGCCATGAAGTCCTGGCAATCCTGCTGCCCCAACCTTTAACCTCTTAACTAGAATTTGTTTTTTGTTTGTTTGTTTTTTGAGACAGGTTTTTCTGTGTGGCCTTTGCTCTCTTGGAACTAGTTCTGTAGAACAGAGTGGCCTCAATCTCATAGATATGCTCCTGCAGCTGCCTCCCAAGTGCTGGGTTTAAAAGTGTGCTACCGTTACCTGGCTGGAAATAGTTTTTACCCCCATGTCTCCAGTCCCTGTACATTGGAAGCACTCAGTAATTTTCCATTGCAAGAAACATTAGCTCATAGGTTAGTGTGGAACCCAGTAACCAGGCTTTGCCCTTTTTCTCTGTAGTTTCCCACTGATGAAACAAGTATAGATATTTGGGACATTCTCCTAGGTGGTGCTGGGCGGCAGTGAGCCCGCAAGGGCCTGAACCTGTGGTCTTCTGGCATGGGGACATGGTGTATCGCAGATGAATCTCAGGACCATTTACTTTGCCTAGCAATGACAACATTGATTGAAGTCAGTGAAGAAGTCTGCCCTGAGTGGAAACGTAGTATCACTTCAACAAAGCACTGCCCTGTCTTTGTGCCATGCAAGCCTGTGCTGGATGAGAAAGCACAATGAGCAGGATGACTACCAGGGTCTGATTCCCCTCAGAGGGACACCGAGGACAGGGGGCAGGACCCAGGAAGGGGCTGGGACCCCTGGTTTAGGGGGTCCGTATTCATCAGTTCTGCTAAATCCATAGGAACCAGAGAATATCCTGACCTACAAACAGAGGAACATAGAACACATGTTGCAAGTGGAAGCTTCCCAGAATTCCTTGAGGGTGTCTAACATGGAAGACTTGTTACAGAGGTGGGTGCTGGCAGCAGGGGCAGGGCAGAGGAGGGCTGGGACAGCTGTGCCCTGGGTGGAAACTCTCCAAGTCAGGGAGAAGGTAGAGCCTTGTCCACTCCCCTGCTGCTTCCTCCCCTCCTTACAATGTCATTCACCCACTCCTACCCCTCTCCCCAGTCTTCCTTCCCTCTGGTTTGCACTCAGCACCGGCCTCCAGGACACTCCTCAGAAGCCCCTTGCTGTCACCGCCCCTCTGTACCATGCTTTACAGGGGTCTCTTTCTTGCCCCTCAGGTTCATGCTCTGTTGGCTCACCTCTGCCCTCTGGCTACCAACCTTAGCCTACTGAACAATTAATTACCTGCAGTTCTCTCCCATCTCCTGCTGGAGCTGTCTGGTGGCTTCTACCGTGGACAATCCACACTGCCCTGTGTTATGTCAGCCTCTAAATTCTGCACCCCTGGCCTGACTGGGAATGCCCTGGTCATCTTTGTAACCACTGCATCTGGCACTCTGCACAGTAGCACAGGGATTCACTCCTTTGTTCTTGTCTAGAGGAAAGAACACACACACACACACACACACACACACACACACACACACACACACACACAGAATACCAGGCAGACACGCTGATGCAGCAAATACCCCACTGGTTCAGAAGGACACACAGTTCATGTAGCCTCCCTTCCCTCCATCTCCCCTTCCTCCTCACTTCCATACTTCCTGGAGTTTGAACCAAAGCCCTCAAGCACTTTACCCCTGAGCCACATCCCTAGCCGTTTCTGTTGTTTGTTTGTTCTTTTTCCAGGGATTTAGGTATAATTCAGGCTGGCCTTGAACTCATAATATACCCATGACTGGCCTTGAATTCAGATCTTTCTGCCTCAGCCTCCTTAAGCTCTGGAATTAAAGATGGGCACACCACATCCAGCTGCCTGGTTTCCTTTCTTCCAAAACCCCCGGGCTTGATCAAGGCATGGTTCCCTTAGTGTCTTTCTGTCTCCCCAGGCTCCTGAATAAAAATAGCCACTTGAATAAAGAGTGTGGGGAACTCCTGCTACAGAGAGGAACCAGGAAGATGGGCACAGGTAAGGACTCACTGACTTTATTACTGAGGGAAGACATGGGGGGCTTCATGGGCCAAGCTGGTTCTTTGTGCCTGAAGTGTTTCCTTGACTCTTCCATTGCCTCTCACACGCCCTGTGAGAGCAGGGGAAACTGAGGCTGCACATTGCTGAGTGCCTCGTACAAGGTCACATAAGCATTGTAGAAAACCACACTCTGTGTGAAGGCTGGCAGCCATTGGCACTAAACTTGGTGGCCGTCATGGCGGTGCCCTGCTGGGCCTTTGGGAGCAGGTGCCGTGGCCCTGACAGCCTCTCAGGTGATAGTCTCTTCTGCATTACTTCTCCCATGTTTTGTCAAGAAACCCTCACCAAGCTGGGAGTTGCATTCCCCATGAAGGCCAGTCTCCAGTGTCCAGTGAGCCAGTGTCCCCGTCTCAATGGAGCTGCCATCTGTAGAGGTGGCACAGCTCCCGAGGGCAGCACTTACAAATGCCTCTGTGGAGCAGACACCTCCTGGGCCTGGGCAAGGAGGAGCCTTCAGAAAAAGTAAACTTAGGAAGAAAACAGGGGATAACAAAGCATTAGGCACATGTCTGTTGCTGAAGCAGAGAGGATGTAAGGGTTTGTTTTGGCTCTCAGTCACAGGGAACTGTCCACCTGGAAGGGATGGGTATGGCGGCAGGAGCAGGGGGCAGCTGGTCATATTGTGAGCACAGCAAGGAAGCAGGGAGAGATTAGTGCTGATTCCCAGTTCACAGTTGTTCAGTCACTGAACCCAGGCCACAGGGTAGAATTGCCCAGAGTCAGGGTGGACCTCCCCACCTCAGTCTCATCTAGAAACTCCTCAGAGACAAGCCAGAGGTTTGTTTCCATGGAGATTGCAAAGCCTGTCAAGTTCACATTAACCAAACTCAGAAGTAAACCATGAGTGAGTGAGGAAAGCCCTGGAGCAGGGGCTTGGAGACTCTCTCAGGTGAGGTAAAAGCTTGTGTGGGGTGGTGTGATGAGACACATAGGGCCCCAGATTGGCACAAAAACCAGGATTCAGTTCCTGTTGGTGCTCTCTTAGTCACAATGGGACTCCCCGCAGTGTGTTAGGAAACAGACAAGTTCAATAGGATGTTGCTCTCACAGCCTGTCCAGCTCAATTGGGCTTGTGAAAATTAATTTCCGCAGAACCAAAAGAAGTATGTATCCCTTAACCTACCTGGGGCAAGTTGTGGAACCCTGTTGGCCAAGAGGAGGGCAGTAGGGAGTGCTGAGCACTTTAGCCAAGATACCCCCTGGCAGAGACAGGTTGTCATGTGGCAAACCGGTCCTGTGTTGCTAGAATTCCAAATGCTGAAAGAGGCCATCTGGCCTACACATTGCCCCTGTAGGTTAGGATATAAGAGCACAGTGTGGCCCACAGGGAGCAGGTCTGGAGAGTTCAGGTGCAGACTGCCTTTCAGATCTATCAGAGTTTACCCTGATCCTGTCCCTTCCCTACAAACACTTATGAAGGTGAGGGTCTAGGCTCTTGTGCCCCACAAAGATGGCTTGTACAGAAATGGCATTATCCCATGCAGACCAGGGAATCTGACAGTCCTGAGTTGCCTGAAATGTGGGCACAGATGCTGAGTGGTCACTAAGGAGACAGTGGCCATTGCTGAGAAGGTGATCCTCTGTGCTGGGGAGCAGGCAAGGGGTGGGAGCACTGTTGTGGGAGCACCCCTCTGTAGCATAATTAGCTTAGGAGAAGGTAGATTCAGATCCTGCTGGCTCTCTGGATACAATGTTTGGAATGCATTGTTTTGGGCCTCTAGCTCCTGCTCTCTGTCTCCTTACCCCTCCCTCTCTCCATTCTCCTCCATTCTCACACAGATAAACAAGGACAAGGGCCTTCTGGAACTTCTGAATCCAGGAGGCAGGTTTAACTAGTCTGACAGGAGCGATCTCTGTGGGGAACTGTATTCAGGCTGTATATACCAGGGGCAAAGTGGGAGTTATGGTGAGCAGTTCCTGCACATACTGTCAATATCCACAGTGAGACCAGAGCAAGGCTGTACCATTTTCCTTGAGTCTTAGGGGAACTTGGTGCGGACACTGTGCCTTTCCTCCATGGGTCTGAGGCTCTGGCTCCTTGAAAAATGGTCATGCCCCTGTCAACAGCACACATTTACTCAGGACCTCATCCACTCAGGCTTCCCTCTGCTCCCTACATGTGTGTGTGCATGCTTGGACACGTGAGCAAGCCATGAACCTATGTGGAGCTCAGAAGATAATCTATAGGGTTCAGTTCTCTGACCTCAACTCCACTTGTAGGCAGGTCTCTCCCAACCCTGAGTCTTGTAACCCTTCCATTTTACCTTGTTGGAGCAGGTCCCCACAGTTGGCTTTTCCATTCCCTGACAGCTCGTGGAAACTTCCAAGGCTTGTGAGTTCCTACATGACAGCTGAGGCTGCTCTGCCCACCACACACACTCCTGAACACAGTTCTCTGGAAATCATGGATGTGGCAGAGGGTAGGGCATGGCTAAACCTTTCTAGTTGGGTAGAGTTATCCATCAAACATGGTAGGGACCAAGTCTGACAAGGATACCAGGGGTCTCCATTACTCCCTGTTTTCTAGTGTTTAAACAACCAAATGAACAGTCTCTTTCTCTGAGATGAGAGTTGGAGACTAGAGTGCAGCCAGTGTCTTTAATCTTGGAGGCAGAGACAGGCAGATCTCTGTGAGTTGAGGCAAGCCTGGTGTACAGAGTGAGTTCCGGGCCATCAAGGGGCACATAGTGAGATGCTGTCTACAAACAACAGAAAGAGAGGGAAGGATGAGAGAACCTGATTGTCTCCATCATCATCCTTCGCTGTCCCTTGGGGTCTGAGCAGATGCCCATGTGCTGTGGTCAGACAGCCTTGACCAAGCTCTGCTGTGCTCTAGAAGAATCCCAGGACAGAAGGACAGGGCTGCCTGATGACAGGGTGGCTTTTGCCAGCCCAGATGGGAGCACTGTGTGAAAAGACTGGGACTTCCCTGGGAAGCCAGGTGAGTCCCTTCCTGTAACAGTTGTCACTGAAGCCACCATGCTTTGTGCTTTCCCCAGGTGTGGTGCTGAACAGGGACCGGAGGCTGGCTATGGTAAGTGCCACTGTCTTCCAGCTTCCTTCAGGATACATAGCAGAGATACAGAAGAGAGAGCCCCCATTGTAGATGCCGGGGTAGTATTAAATATATTGTTTTGTGGAACTGTCCCCAACACCTATAACCCAGCCTCTGTCACCCTCAGTAAACACTGAACCCATTAAAACACTAAGTCCTCCCCAGTCTCTCCAGCAACTCCTAATTTACTTTTCTGTAACTGTGAAATCCACTGTTTGATTCTACTCTCATGAGGTACCTATGCTTATCCTTCTGTGCCTGGCTTCTTCTCCCTAGCATCATGCTTTCCAGATCCTTCCATGTGAAACACACATGCACTTTCACACCTGTGTGACACCAAAGACTAGCTGTTTCAACCTGGGGACTTTAATCCCCTGATGCTGAGAAAGAAGCAAGGAAGTCTCTGGGAGGATTTTTTTTTAAACATCTATTTGACATCTATTTTTCACTTATTTAATATTATTTGTCTGTGTGTGTGAGTGTATGTGCAAGGGCCGGGGATGCCACTGTAGAAGTCAGGACAACTCTTGGGAGTGTGTCCTCCCTTCATATGAGTGTCATGGCTCACACTCAGTCAGCTTGGAGCATGCGTTTATCCACTGAGCCATCTTTCTGGCCCCACACCACCTTTTCCATGTCTAGCCCTCTGACGATAGACATTGGGGTTTCGTTTTGGCAATTGAAAACAAAGTTACTGTAGTATAAGTTAGAAGTGTCTGAGTCCTTGTTTCCTGAACTTGGATATGCTGGAAAAGAATTGCTGGGGCCCAGGGTAACTTGTGACTGATCTTTTAGAAGTTGCTAAACTGTTGTCTCCAGAGGCTGCACTGCTTTATCTTCCCACCAATGATGCACAAGTGTTCTATGTCTTCCCCAATCTGTCTGTCACGTACAGGGAAGACAGGTGTACAGAATAGACCTTGTACACACGAGGCATGTGTTATACCAATGAGCTACATCCACAGATCCCTTTCTCCCATTTATGTCTGTCATCCATTTGTGCATGCATTCACACAGTTGCAGTGAAGGAAGCTGGTACTGGAGCAACAGGGTTAGAGAACATAGCCAGTCTCCCCTTGAAGAGGACTCCAGTGGGATCAGGATCAGCAGAGCACATTGACCTGGGTCCAGTTCTCACATCCTGTGTCCTATGCAAAATGCCTCAGAGCTCTGAGTTCCTTGGACTTTCCTCTTGGCTTAATCTTATTACAAAAAAAAAAAAAAAAACCAGCTATATGTTTAGGAAATAAAATTGGCAGAAGTTAAATTTAAAAACAAAGAAAAAAGGAAAGAAAGGAAAGAAGGAGAAAACCGTGCCATGGTTTCACGCACCTATACTCCCAGCGCTTAGGAGGAGGAGTCAGGTGAATTTCTGTGAGTTTCAGGCCAGCCTGGCCTTCAAAGTGAGTTCCAGCACAGACAGGATTCTTACACAAAGAACCCCTGTTTTGAAAAACCACAAAATCAATAAACAAACAAATAATTAAAACCAGAAGTTAAGACACATTTAGCGGGACAGGCAGCTGACTAAAGGGGACAGGCAGGGGCCCTCACCGTGGTCAGCACACAGAAAACATAAGCTGCCATAGACACTCAGAAAAGCTTCAGGTCTGCAAGCATGGGCAGACACAGCATCCCCTACTCCTTGACTGGCACAACTTTAAGTTAAGGTTCAGGCCTCATTGTAGCCTTGAGCCAGACATTTCCAGTTCATGAGGAAAAGGAGGGAGATTAGAGGCCAAGGCCCGAGTCCCCTCCTAACTGAGCGTGATGCCACCTCCTGTTAGCTGCTGGCTGTGGCCAGGGTTGAGAGCTGTGCCCATCGCTGCCCACCACACTTGTTGTCAGTGAGGTCACAGAAGCTGCCCTCCCTGGGAGGCAGCTTTGCCACAGATCTCAGGCAGATGCTCTGTGTGAGAACAGATGAGACACTGGAGGCTCAGAGCTGATGTGGAAACCTTTGTTTAGAGAAGGTACCCATGGTGCTCTTAATCTGAGGAGCAGGACAAGGAGTGACTTTGCTGTGTGTGTCTGTGTGAGCACGTGCAATGGGCATGTGCAGGTCAGAGGTCAACGTCAGGTGTAGTTCCCAGCCACACTCCTCACAGCCATTTAGTATCTATTTTTTGAGATGGTCTCTAACTTTCCAGAGAGGCTAAGCTGGTGGCCAGCACACTCCAAAGATCCTCCAAGCCCCCTCTGCCTCTTGAGGGTGACATTGTAGGAATGTCACAACATGCCCAGTTGTTTGAAATGAGAAGTCTTAGGATTGGTTCAAGTCTTGTCACGAGGACTCTACTGAGACATTTGTCCACGCCAGGAGTGAATGTTTCATGATGTGTATTAGACTGGGTATCAGATACTCCCCAGGGCCCAGTGCAGAACATCCAGGCTCTCTGCCACTGACCGCCAGCTGTACTGACATCATTATGTACCTTTATTAACTGTATCATTTCTCCTAGGGAGGCTGCAGTGTCCATCAGTAGCTGCCCAGGGCTGCAACCTCCGTTTTGGGCACTGCAGCATAGCCATGCTAAACAGCAAGGACAGCAGGGAGGGCTGGGTGGAGGCACAGTATGGAGGACTCACTCAGGTGCACATGGGACTTGGTAGCAAGGATTTCCCCTGGTTTTGTTTCTGCAGCCAGAACACAGCTTTGACTTCGTGAACAAGGAGATGCTTGTGCACTTTATCAGACACCTGCGGGCCAATGTGCTGATGATCATGTGAGTCTAGAACAAGTACCCTTAATGACCCAGAGACCAGGAACAGTCGAGGGAATGTGGCACAAGGTGTCAGTTCTCCCAGAGTGACACCACACCATAGTCCACTCAACCTTTCTCAGGAAGAATCTATGTCAACCGGAGCTGGGAGGAGGAAAGCAAAACAAGAGGAAGCCTGGGGACAGGGGAAAGGCATGAGGATTGCAGGGCAACAGGGGGCAGGGGTGAGGACTGCAGGGAAGAAGGGTGAAGGAGTGAGGATTGTTGCACAGATCATCAGATCTTTCGGGAAAGTGCTTATGATTCCAGTTTCTCATGCTGATGAAGCAGAATGCACATCACAGAAAGGGCACAGGCAATCTTGGGAGCTTGTTAAGTCCCACTCTATTAAGGAAGATTGTCCTGTTTGAGGACACAGCATCAAGAAGGATGCAATTGGAGAGATGCAGGAGGGTTCATGCCCCAACTAGATCAGCCAAATTATGCCTGAAGACCAATGGGGTGACAGACATCACATGATTGTGTTCACATTGGGAAATGTGAAGTTTTCCTCACCTAGCAACACACAGTTAGAGTCTATCCTTATCCTTCCCTTGATGCTTGGTGGTGGGACAACAGCAGGAAAATAGGAGGAAATTTGAGACTCTACTATTGGCTGGTACTAGAAAGTTTCAAAGTTTAACTAATACCTTTTTTAAGTAAAATTTTTAACCTGTTGTGGAGTTGAGCATGTTAACCCTGTTAGAAGTTTTGGCAAATGGGAACTAAAAGGAGCTGGCTGGGCATGGTGTCTCACACCGGCAATTCAGAACTAGGGAGAGCATGGCAAGGCTGTGACAAGTTTGAGGCCAACCCAGGCTACACTGTGCTTCAAACAGGGGGGAGGGTTGTGATATGTACATTACACCTCCGTAGGTTGTATTTTAAAGAAAATCCTGGCCTTGAGAGCCAGTTCAGCTCTGACCTCAGCTTGTGGGCCCCCACTTTACACAGTACTGGAAGCTACTTCCCAGCAGGAACTCTGATTGTGCTCCCCTGGTACCAGCACTAAGAAGAAGCTGGCACTAAATGATTGAACTTCAGCGTCAATCTAGGCTCACAAAAAGGGAGGCAGCCCAGGCTTGGGCTCTGTTGAGATTCAGCAATGAGAGACACCCCAACTTCTTGCTTCCAGGGCAACACAGGGGTACTATGATCTGAGAGAAGCCAACGATGAGATGAAGCCCCTGCTCATCATGGTGGACACACTAAGAACCATCCTAAAAGAGGTAAGGTGTGTGCCATGGGAAGATGACAGGATGGGCATGTCTTCTCCTTTGAACCCTATGTCATAGGAATTGGATTTTCATTCCCGAGTTAGACCCAAACCAGTCCATAACCACTACCCACACCTGGGACACACAGAGTTCATGAACCTAACCCCTGGCCAGGCCTTCTGTGGGGCCCACCTCTTACAGGCAGCCCTGCACTTGCCTTCACTCATCCTGGAACCAGCACATTAGCAAGTGTGATGGCCATGGGGAAGGGGAGGCCAGTCCTGGAATTAGAGGTGTGTGTAGTCATCATCCACTTAAATCACCTGGGCCTGTGTCCTTTGCACACAGCCCGGGCATGCTACCAGGAAGGGGGTCACCTATTCAGGGCCTTCTGCAGTGGGAGCTGTCCTGAACCCTGGCTTTCATGGCGATGACAATGCTTCATCTCCATCAAAACTGGCAGAGACCCTGACTGTGACTCCTCTGTTCAGCACTGTAGTCACAGCTCAGATGCCTACATTCCTGGAAGGGCCTCCATGTCCCCAGGCTGCTGGGAACAGAGGTTGTCCCTGACCCACTTGGAGGCAGTCATCTATGGGAGAGTCTGCTGAGTGGGCAGCATCTCACCTCCTGCCCCTTTCAACAGCGGTTCCAGTATGTGGAAGTCCCAGGCAATCACTACATCCACATGAACGACCACCACCTTGTGGCTGGACTTGTCAGCTCCTTCCTCCAGAGCCAACCCAGGACAGCTTTGATGCTGTAGCTCTGTCTTTGGAGCTTGGTCACACAAAGGTGGGTGGGTCTCGAAGACTGGGCTCGAAGACCAAGAGAGGCAGCAGAGAATCCTGTGTCAGAGCTTGGGGCAGGGGTAAATGTTTCTGATCTTTAATATCTGACTTCAAGAAGGGGACAGGTGAGCTGGTGACAATCACGGCCAGGACTGGGGAGGGGTCCCTGGAGCTGGTCCTGGTACCACTCAGTGTGGCAATAAAATCCTCTCCCATCTTCACTGCATTCCAAATGGCTCTGTTTCGGGGAAGGGCTTTATAGAGGGCAAAGTGTGGGAGCAGATGCTCAGTCAGCTTTCCCAGGTGTGTCTTTACAGGCTGGAGGAGGAAGGGCCAGCTCTCTGAAGGCCATGTCCTGAAATGGCCTGCATCTCAGCCTGTGGGTACAGGGACAGAGCTGGGGACACAGAGGCAGTTCCTTGGCCTGTGATCTGCTTCCCAAAGCACAGTCCCTAGGGAGAAGTCCTGCTGGTAGTTGTGTTCTCAAAGCCTGCTCTCCAGAGACAAAACAGCTCAGTAGGGCCGGAATTTGCGTTGGGCACGCATTGGTTCAATCCTCTGCTTGTCCTCCTCAAACTTATTGTGCAGCTGTGCTAGATCTGGGGGTTGAAGGGACACAGGAGGGGTCACACAGAGTACCTGTGCATTAACTGCCTGGTACCCACTGAAGGGGACTCCATCCCTCATGTCTCAGGGCAGCTCTGCACATGCTCCTTCCCCACCCCATACCCCCTCTACTCCTGCTGTGCTCTGGGTCAATTAGGATCTTCCCAGGACACAGAACTGCACCCTTAACTGCAGCCACTCTACAGGCTGAGCAGGGAGGATAAAGTGTGAGGTTTTGAGAAGAAAATGTACCAGGGAGAAGAGAGGCCCAGAGAAAGCCGGACTCCTAACCATTCTTCTGCTCCCTGAGAAGCAGCAGTCCCAGGGACCCCTTCCCCTAGATGAAGCCTTGTCCTGGGGGCCCCAGAATCAGCAGGTAAACAATCGCCAAGTGCCCCAAGTCCAAGGTGGCACCTGCATCTGTAAGGTCGGCTTGGGATCTAGGACAGGGCAGGAGCGTGTGAGGTGTGGGGGACAGTGAGGCAGGTGTCAGTGCCAACAAAACTGGGGTCTGAAGGCAGCTGCTGAGTGCACCCCATGCTCGGGGGAGGACAGGGGCCCACAGAAGTGTCCAGTGAGCAGCATGCGTGCTGACAGCAGCAAGAGCATGTCCTCCCATGTGGGACACTCAAGCAGGCTGCCCTAATCCCCCCAACCCCACTATCCTGCCCTCTTCCTCTGTAGTCAGACACCTCTGGTTGGGAGCTGACAGATCTCTGCCCCAAGTGCTTCTGCCCCTGGGCAAATACTGTCTATGTCTGGGGAACAGTAGGGGCACTGTGGACAGGGACACAGACCTGAGCCTGTAGAGGATGTGCCTGAGGACACCCTACTCCCTGCCCCAGGCCTGTGGGGTGCCCTCAGCTGTGCCTTACGTTCCATCTTGGTCTCTCGGTGCTGCCAGGCATAGAAGTTGAGCAGCTCCTTGCGGGCACGCTTCCTCTTCTCCCTCTCCAGAACACGCAGGCTGGCCGCTTCTGTTCGAGGGAGCACAGGCCTGCGGCCCCTGCGGGTCACCTTCACCCAGCCCTCCTCATCAGGAACACCTTCCTCCTCCTTGGCCTTGGTCTCCTCCTGCATGGAAGAGACTTTGATGGGCAGGCTCAGCAGCAGCAGGATGCCTGACTGGCTAGAGGCCCACTGCCCCCTCCTGCGGTCAACCACCTTGGGCACACACACTCTGCTGGCCCGGATGCCACACTGTAAGTGTTGAAGAACACACATATCAATGACGCTTCCTCCACATGCAGACCATTTAGAGTCACGTCACACAGCCTGGTGGCCCAGGTTTCAGCTGAGCTAAAATAGGAGCCTGCACTCCCTATGGTAACCAAGGAAAGGCTGCCACCACCATTCTCTCACAGGCACCACAACCACCACAGAATACTTGTGGTGCCAGCTCCTCGTGGCCACGCACACTGATAAGCGGGGCCTACGACAGCCCCTACCTTGAGATCAGAGGGTAGAGCTAGCCACTTATTAACCATAGTGGTATAAATGTCTGTACAGACAGGAGACAGGAAGTTGAAGCTGGGCAGAGACAGGAGCTTGGCTCTTTTCAGTCTGGGGAGTCTGAGAGTTAAGAGGTGACTGTGCCTGGCCCTTTACTTCTGATCTTTCAGCTCTGCCCTAGATTTCTGACTCCACGTTTTTATTATTGGGACCAATTAGGGTCTTGCATGCTTCATCAAGTTTCAGTTCCAAGCTCCAACACAGTGGCTCACAATCACCCATAACACCAGATCCAGAGATGCACCCTTTTCTGACTTCCTTGGATATGAGACACACAAGTGGTGCTCAAACACACAAACGTAAAATCTTTAAAAATTGAATGGAAGGTCCCTGGTCAGAAGCAGTGAATGAATTTTAAATGGAAAAAGAAAGAAGAGAAAGAAAGAGCCTTTATATGTCTCCTCTAAAACCTCTCTGGCTCTGTAGCCTGGTGAGGGAAAAACAGCAAGCAGCTAAGTACCTGAAAACAACAGGAAAACTAGTTCCAGCTAATGGCACTACTTTTTTATACTTAGCCTAGGAACAAAGCAAAAACAAACACACAAAAACCACCACCAACCAGTGTGGGTACAACCCTGGCTGTCATGGATCCGGAGCTAGTAGCCCAGGCTGGTTTCAGGGCCTGTGCCTGCCTCTGCCTCCCCAGTGAGGGGTTAAAGGTGTGCACCAGCATGCCTGCCCTGGAATTTTAAATTTTTACAAATTGTAGGGAGCTCAAATATACTTTTCCCAGATGGGCATGGCTGTAATCTCAGCTGAAGCAGGAGGATACCTGGGTGTTCCAGACCATGTGAGGTTACAGTGAGACCCTGTGTCAAACCTTTTACTTTGAGCCAGAAGTC